CATTGTCCTTATGTCTTGATGGAATCTCTCACCTTGCTCATCACTGACAGCACCCATATTTTCAGGGAAAAATGACAAATGAGAATGGAGAAAGTGAATTTTTAAAGACATTCGGGCACCAAGCGATTTATAAGCATCTAAAAGCTCATTAACCAATTGTTCGTAGTTCGCATCCTTATTGTTTCCCAAAAATCCCCTCACTACACTAACAAATGAGGTCCATGCTCTGAGTTCCTGCCTGGTAAGCGTGTCTGTGAAATTTGTGTCGTCCAACAATTTCCTGATTTGTGGTCCAATAAAAATACCCTCTTTCAATTTGGCATCACTCAACTGGGGAAAGACTTGCCTTAGGTATTTAAATCCATCACCTTCTTTATTCATAGCTTTCACGAAGTTTTTCATGAGGCCAAGTTTGATATGAAGAGGAGGCAGGAGGACGTCTTTGGGGTCTACAAGAGGGATATACTTGACATTTTGGGAACCCGGTTGAAATTCACTTCTTTCTGGCCAAATTTTCTGTACATAATGATGATTTACTGCACGACTGTCCCACAAACAAAGAAAACAGCAATATTTTGTAAATCCTCCCTGAAGTCCCACTAAAATTCCTATAACTTTCAAGTCCCCACATATCTGCCATTTATACCTGTTGTAGTTGATTCTATCTAAAAGCATGCGCATATTTTCATAAGTTTCCTTCATTGTCACTGAATGGGCAACTGGTATAGAGGGTTTTAAATTTCCGTTATGCAATAACACAGCTTTTAGGCTATATTTCGACGAATCTATGAATAAGCGCCACTCACAGGGAGAATGTTCTATAGAAAGTTCCTGCATTAAGCCATCGATATCAGTACATGCACACAACGAATCCTCCATACTGTAGAATGCAGAGAACGGAGCATTTCTTTTTCTAAAAGTGGTGATTTTTGTTTCATTGGCTAACAGATTCCATTCCTTAAGCCGGGATCCAAGAAGTTCTGACTGCTGCTTTGATAACCCCAAGTCACGCACTAAGTCATTCAACTCGCTTTGAACAATCAAATGTGGCTTGTCGGAACCGCCCTCTGGGGTAAAGGTAGGATCAGTACACTGGTCTCCAGAGCTGTTTGATTCAATATCTTCCTTATCTTCCAAAACAATACCTTGCCAGTCTAAGGGCGCGATCGGCACTGGGAGATCTGCACCATGAAGAACAGGTCGTATGGCAGACGGCAAATTGGGATACTCGATCTTGTGCTTTTGTTTTTTGGAAAAACCTTCAGTTTTCGTCAGGCAAAAATAGCAATCGTCAAAATGGTTAGTTGGTTCTCGCCATACCATTGGAACCGCAAATGGCATTTTTTTCCTCTTCCCTTTCATCCACTGCACAAGCGACACGCTACAAGTAACGCAGCACACATGAGGAGCCCACTGCTTGTCTTGATCTCCAACCAAAACTCCAAAATACTTGAAGTAGGCTTTCTTCACATTTTCAGAAAATGGTCTGGCTTGTGATTGCACCATAAATTCTCCACAAATGTAACAAAATCGATCAGGAGACACTTTACAACTGCGGCGCGTTTGACTTGACATTTTCGTACTATTTATCTACACGCATAGAACAACTCACGTCGAAAATCAACTGAAAACTGAACTCTCTTATGTTTTTCACAATATATTATAGTGCACAAAATGCGTCCCTTTCAATCATCCCATCATAAAATTTACCTGTATGTAAACGAATCTACCTAGACATCTATAAAATTGACTACCTGCAAAAAAGAGGCGTAACTAGGCAACTGAAAAGTGGTACGTGTAGGAGCTTCAGGAGTATTTTTTCTGTTATTAGAAGCATATTTTTATGAAGAAATTCTGCAACTGACTCGTGTTACAAAAATCATGTCGGCCTGTGTTATCATATTTCTGGAGCCAAAATATACTACCCCTAAAAATATTTGTACTTATTTAAGACTCACCCTGTATAGGGCGATTCACGATTATGGTACGTTATAGTGTTTCGGAACCGGTAATTTCGGTAACATGTCTCTAAGGGATCGGAATTTCCAGTTTTTTTTTCGGTACTTTCGATGCTAGCAAATTTTTGTTCTATGAGTGCAGTTCGTAAAAAAGCAAGCAAGAGATGGTTAGGTTGCAAAAGTAAATTCAATAAGAAATTGAGGTTTAAATAAAAATAATATCAAATTATTAAGTAGTCATGAGAAAATTAACCTGAACACAAACATGATCACAAATGATTCTCAAAAAAAAACTCAAAGCACAATTTTTTGAATTATTGCAGCACACAGTAAAGCACTCATTTCTTGTCAATCCGTCTCTGTGCTGGGACGTAACGCTCGAACCTCGCAGGTCGACGGACGAAACTCAACTGAAACGCTCTGCAATCTGCCGATATTCGACGGATTGTAAAAACTGGCAGAAAATATTTGGGAGAGTGCAACTACTCTTTTCCTTCTACTATGGTATTACCTCCGAATACTTGACACCCACACCGATTGACGTGAAATTTGAACAGTGAATTAGAGATATATTATGTAAGAAACAAAACTTACATAGTAACGAAGTGTGCTTTCATCCAACCCTTCTGAGTGTCAACCCTTCACGGGGGTGAAAAACAAATCACCCATTTTAATTGCAAAAATCAATAAAGGGATATAATTATATAACATTTTTTCAGAAAATTAACATTTCCGAGTTATTTAGGATAGAAAATGTTGTTTTTTCATCTAAAAACTGCATATGTTTCTGCCATTTTTTATAAATAACTCGAAAATCTTGTGTTTTATCGCAAAACTAATATAAAGCAAAAATGAAGCTTTTGGAATAATAAATTGATTCATTTTTTATTGATTACCGTAGGTGTAATAAAAGCCGAGTTATCACTTTGTAAAGGTGATTTATTTTATTTTTCGAAAACTAAATTGCGACCTTTTTACCGTAAAATAATGTCAAAAGAATATATTTCTAGGTGAAAATGAGTATGACCGTTTTTAAAATGCTTGAAAAGACCTTTTAAATGCTTTTTTGAAAGGTATTTTCGTATTTTCGTAGCTCAAAATCACGCGGCGCTATGATAAAAATAAAATATTTGCCTCATTTTTTCGCAAAAAAAATAAATAACAAAATCTATGACTAAAATCATCAAAATAAAAACTATCAATTTGTAAGAAATTTCACGAGCTACAAATTAACCTCTATAGTTGAACAGTCTTGAACTCTTAATTTTTACGAGATTTTTGGGTTTTAAGGGCTCAAAGAACGTGGTCCTTACACGCAAATCAAACTAAAAAAAACTAATATGTACGAAATAAAGAAATCTACAGAAAATTGAAGGAGAGAAAAAACATTGCAAAAAACCTTCAATTTTCTCTATTGCATTTTTCCGTATCTTGCTTACTTTTTGAGATATGTCAAAAAAATTTTTTAAATTTTTTTTCTTTATTTTCAACTTTTTCTCCAAATTTATGCTCTCTAAACCGCTCGAATTTGCAGAGCCCATTGTTAGTACCTAAATATAGCCAATTTTATACGTATTACCCTTTAAACTTAGTTTTTATTTTTATGATCTTAGTCATAGATTTTGTTGTTAATTTTTTTCCGAAAAAATGAGGTGAGTATTTTATTTTTATCATAACTCTGCGAGTTTTTGAGCTACAAACTTTTTTAAAAAAGCATTTAAAAGGTCTTTTCACGCACTTTAAAAACAGGCATATTCATTATTTCCAAAAAATGTGTTCTTTGTCTATTATTTTACGGTAAAATGTTGCAATTTAGTTTTCGAAAAATAAAAAGTCACATTTACAGAGTGATAACTCGGCTATTATTACACCTACGGTCTACGGTAATGAACAAAAATGAGTCGTTTAGTTATTCCAAATGCTTTATTTTTGCTTTATATGAGTTTTGTGATAAAACGCAAGGTTTTCGAGTTATTTAAATTAGCGTAACTAGCAATTTATCCGGGGGTGGGCCTGGGGAGGGCCTGAGGTTGAGCCCAGGGTGGGCCTATGGCTTTTATTTTTTTAAAAATGAAAAATAATTTTAAAAAACACATTTTTTGAATAAAACGTTTACATGAATTTCTCTATCAATAAATTTCATAGGCTTGGTTATCAAACCGTGTTTCCGTAGATTACTTAAATACCTACAAATTTTCTAAAAAAATAAAAATTGATACATTTTTTGAACACAGCAAAATAATATTAACTAAACAAAACTAGAAAACGTCATTTTTATTGCATCACAAGCAAATAAAAATTAATACGTAGCCAAGAGTCATAATTCAGGATTTCTCTGGGGGGTGCCCAGCAGTATCTGGAGGGGGGTCGGCACCCCCGGGCACCCCTGTAGTTACGCCAATGGTTATTTATAAAAATGGCAGAAAAATATGCAGGTTTTAGATTAAAAATCAACATTTTCAATCCTAAATAACTAGGAAAATATTAATTTTCTGAAAAAATGTTATAAGAAATTTTTTGCTTAGAATTCATCCTTTTGTTGATTTTTGTTATTAAAATGGGTGATTTATTTTCCACCCCCAGGAATTGGTGGCATTTACCCCCAGGGTGAAACCACACATCGCTACTATGTAAGTTTTGTTTCTTACATATATCTCTATTAACTGTTAAAATTTCACGTCAATCGGTGCAGATGTTCAGAATTCGGACCCTATAAACCTGGCTTACTGGCCTAACACAATTTTTTGTTTATAATATGCGATAATTGGTTTTAGTAGTTTATTTTTGACCACTCATAATAATTTATATTATCTGTTAAACGGAGGCATAAAAATGCAATCAGTTTAAAAATTATGGATTTTTGTAAACAGTAAAAATTTTTGAATTTACCCAATAAAATTAATTTCGTATCACCGTATCCTCGAATATCAGACGCATAAAAATCCATTTTTAGGTGCATTATTACAGTGAAAATCTCAAACCAAAAACCTGGTATTGAGTTTTTTCGGAGGCTGGATGATCCTGTATAATTTTATATTTCAGATATAGATGAGATTTTATATGATTCGGTGGTGAAAGTAACAATTCCTTTGAATAGAAAAATTGTGGCACTTGCCAACCGAATGGTCGAATTCGTCGTAAAAGAAGGTCCCTTGTTTGAAGCAGTAATTATGAATCGAGAAATGGACAATCCCGAATTTAACTTCTTATTTGACAATAAGTCCCCAACCCATGTGTACTATAGGCTAGTATTCTAATATATCCATGAAACTCTATGGTCGTTCGTACAGGATACAGTTTGAAAATTAGCAATCCACATTATCTATTAGTCAACAAATACTATGAGGAAGATCTCAGAAAGATATATGAGAATTGCAAAAATAGTGAAAATATAAATTTTTCCTATTAACTGACATTCTATACAGACAGAATAAATATGGACGATTTATTATAGGCAATTGTGTTGTTCGTTTTAGGTGGAGACTTTTCTCAGTGTTGCAAGGAGAACCTACAAAACATTGGAGCTTAAAGCCTTTTAGGTAATTCCTATTCTCCGACGTCTTAAATATAATCGTATATTTATTTCAGATTTCGTTGTTTGTATTATTCTTAAAACATTGACTTGTTGCTGTCGATATAACTATACCACAGTTGCTGTTTTTATTTTAATTTCAGAATGTTTGAAGGAGGCTCGATATGGTTACCACCACGGTTAGTAAATTATTCAGATGGCATGCCAGAGCACTTGGTAAAATTTAAAATTGATGGTTCGAAACTTACAGGTATTATTAAGGTTTCATAATTGTTTCAAATATGTTTGTTTAAGATAAAATTATTTTTAAGTTTTAACCAAGTAAATCTTGAAATATATTACTCTGAAAACTCTATTTTGTAACCCTTGGCAATCTTTAAATTAATTTTTTTTCTGGAATGTACTGTCAAATTAAACATATTTGCGGCAACTCTTTGATTGGGTCCCTGTTAAAAGTGTATTTCCCTATTCATAAATATATAGGGTGAGTTTCCTGTAGGGTGATGTTCTCTATGGGTATCTCGGAAACCACTGGAGAGTCGGTTAAATTGGGAAAGAACTGCAGTTTTGTGGGGTCATAACATGCCCCTTTCAGATTTTTGAAAAAGTTCATGGTTTACTAGATATTTTGATAAAGACAAATTTCGGCTATTTTAAAAATTCACCCTAATTCCTTTATAATCTATTTTAGACAAAAAGTTTTCAGATAAAAGTTGTAGATAATGACATTCTTAATGAGATTGTGCCCTCCGTTTTTTTCTAAAGCCTGTCATTTTTGACATAGGTATGACACAAACATATGTTTTTTTAAATGAAAACCATGGTTGGCCATTACTTCATAAAAAAACGCCATTTTTTAAGCTTTTTAGCGATATAGGCTATAATATGTTTCATTCGAAAAATTACTGAGTTATAGCCAATTCTTTTAAATTTTAAACAATTTCACTTAGTTAGTCATGGAAACAAGTTCAATCGTCGTTGTTCTCAGAAATGTGATACTGTCACATCCAAACTTTATAAATTAAAATAAACAAAACTTGTAAATATGATTTTTTCAAATGAAGAAAAGCGTGTAGGATTATTGGTTCAACTTTTCCATACATTTTCGAGGATACGTTGACCGGTGAACGTTACTTACGTTTTTTTAGAAAAGTTAAATTTAGATACTTGCGCTTCAATACAATGGTTCCAACATCATTTTCTTTATGACACTCCCTCTATAATAATGAAAGAAGCGTTAAAAATTATTTATATCATAATTATGCAAACTCAAGGATAGGAAGAGGTGGACCAATTGCATGGGCCTCCTCGATCACCTGACCTATCCATTTTAGATTTTTTTAGGCGGTATAACAATAAGGGTTACAAAAGAACTTATGAATTAAGAGAGGCACTCGAAGAGGCGGTACGGGAGTTTATTAAAATCGACCGGCCGTAGTCAACCGTTCTGTGGAAATTCATTCATTCAAGTTCTTTGTTGTTATTGTTGTTCTTTGTTGTTCATTGTTAACCATACCGCCTAAAAAAATCTAATATGGATAGGTCAGATGTTCGAGGAGGCCCATGCAATTGGTCCACCTCTTTCTGACCTTAGGCAGAGCGTTAAACAAATGTCGCTCACATTGGAAAAGCTTGTTACAAGGGATAAGACCTGTACAGATCATAATATGCAGCGGAAAAAATCCATTTCAACGCAGACGGGCCCTATAGATCACCAAAATAGTACTTTAGATAGTACTTTAGCTTTTATAGATTCGCCAAAAAAATAGTTCACCCAAAATAGTGTCATCGCAACCTCCTAAGGCCGCCATAAGAGAAGACTGGAATTATGTGGTGGTGTCCAGAATTCCACCTCCTTACACAGCGAATCAACTTGCGCACTATGTTAAAGAAAAACTAGGAACCACCGACTTCATCAGATGCTTTCCAATGCTGAAAAATAAGGACAGTTCCCATTCCGATTTCAAAATTGGAGTGCAAAAGAGGTGTCACTTGGTGCAGCTTAAGGACATAAATATGTGGCCGCCGGGAACCATAATAGATTCAACCTCAACATCCTTAAGCCAAGCTTCGTTTACTTCTTCGGTTGAACCTGCTCAAAATCTCAAAATAAACATCATTGAGAACCGCAAGCTACCTCACCTACTTGACCCACCACTGGCAACTATGCCAAGGGAGGTAAGAACTATTAAGATTGGGTCTGACAGGGAGGCTATAGCTGCTTGCAAGTCCCTGGCGATGGAAAATCCAGAAATTATTGTGCAGGGAAGTGCGAAGAGAGATGGTTTGGCAGTTATGGACCCGATGACCCCACCTATAGTACGGCTGTCTCAGGACTCAGATGCGGTAAATGGACGTTACGTGTTGGCCAGGTTGAGGGACCCCTCCATTTTGAAATCTCTTAGGCTATTCCTTGCCTATCTTCACGACCAACCATCCAGTGTGTGTTTTGAAGGACACACTAGTACCAGCATCAAATTGATGCTTGCATCAGAAGGGCTACCTAGTGACCTGGAGTCCTTGCGTAAGTTGTACTACCGCTTCCACAACGCCTATGGTATTGGTTCAACTGAAGTTGATGCAGATCTTTCAGCTTTCAGGTCATTCTTTTCTGCGGAGAGCCTTCTACGACTTCAAAAAATTAGGGAAAGTCATGGCAAATATTATTCCAGTGGTTCCCCAAATAAGAGTAAAAATTTTTAGTTGAATTGACGCGAACAGAGGATCAAGCACCCTCTGAAGAATTAAGCGATAGCAAGCTTGGTCTATTCCTTATTAATATTCAGTCCTTAAGACATAAAACAGATGAATTATATCTTTTACTAGAAGAACTTGAATTTCCAGATATCATTGCCATAACTGAGCACTGGTTGAATTTTGATGAGCCTGTGTTTATTAAAAATTATACCACAGTAGCCAGATTTGATAGAACAAATTTTTCTCATGGAGGTACTATGATAATGTCTTTAAACAACGACTTTTCCGAGGTAACTAGGTACAATGATTTGTTATCTGAAAAAGTATTCGAATTTTCCATTGTCCACCATAATGCTTATGACCTTTACATTATTTGTATTTATAGAACACCTGACTCTGACGTGCAATTATTCTGTCATAATCTACTAAGCTTGCTTGAGTCCCTGCCCTTGAAAAGCAAATTAATTTTGTGTGGTGATCTTAATATTGACTTTCTTAGTGTATGTGCTGCTCAGGAGTTTCTTCAGTCCATTTTTGATTCTTTTGGAATGGTCATGCATGTAGGCTCACCTACCAGAATATCCAATACCAGTTCTAGTACTATAGACTATGTTGTGTCATCTTTTGATCCTAACTCCATCGCCTGCAACGTCTTTAGCTCGGGTCTCTCTGATCATGAAGCAGTTTTAACTGAATTTTCGATAAAGTCCAAAATCAAAAATGCCCCTCGTAAATTATGCCGTATTTTTTCAGAAAAGAATGCTCAAAAGTTCGGTCACTTATGTAAAACAACCAACTGGGATACTAGCTCTTATGATGTCGACACCGAATTTTCTATTTTCGTAAAAACATTAACCAGTCTAGCGTTCAAATCCTTTCCTCTTAGGCCTATAAAAATAAGCATAATAAACCTTGGACCACTAAAGGTCTACGCATATCTTCTAAAAACATGCGTTCATTATCTCACTTAAAAAATTCTCAGACAGTCTCTTCTTCCACAATTACGTAAAACTATACAGAAAAATTTATCATAAGACTATAAGAGCCGCTAAGGACCTTTATTATAATAGGAGAATAGTCAATTCTGGTAATGTTGCTAAGGAAACATGGTCTATTGTGAATGAGTTGAGAAACAAAGCTTCTTCGTCTAGCAATATCTCTACCTCGCCTGAGAACCTTAACGATTACTTTGTAAATGTAGCGAAAAACTTAACTAATACCATATGTCCTCCTCATGATCCACTTTCTTATCTCTCTAATGATAATGTAAACTTACACAGTTTCTTTTTTTTCGCCCGTAGTTCTTGAAGAGCTTCGCAGTACAATTAATACCATCAAAAATAAATCCTCTTCTGGGACCGACGGGCTAACTTTAAAAATGTTTTCGAATCTGCCAGAAAGCACTCTGAATCACCTAACAACTTTAATAAACATGTCGTTCCAAAATGGTATTTTTCCAAAATGTCTTAAGACGGCAATAATCATTCCACTGCACAAAGGAGGAGACAAAGATGAAGCTTCTAACTATCGCCCAATTGCACTCCTTCCAACGCTATCTAAGATCATAGAAAGGTTGGTTAAAAGCAGGCTGGTATCTTTTCTGTTTAAGTACAAAATACTTACTGAATATCAATTTGGATTTCTAAGCAACAAGTCCATAAATGACGCTATGTTTTCCCTCCTTAATAAAGTTTACTCCAGCCTAAACAACCATCATTCTACAGCAACAATTTTCTGTGATTTTTCTAAGGCGTTCGATTGTGTAAATCATGAGATCCTAATTAATAAACTGCAGCACTATGGGTTCAGGGGATCATCTCTCGAATGGTTTAAGTCGTATCTGAGCAACAGAAGTCAACTTGTGAGGGTGGATACCACGTTGTCTTCTAGCAAGCCAATAGAATGTGGAGTACCACAAGGCTCAGTACTAGGCCCTATTTTGTTTCTTCTTTTTATTAACGACATTGCTAATATAAACACCAGTGGCAAAATATGTCTTTTTGCGGACGACACTAGCTTCACTTGGAGCAACAAGGACATCGCGGCACTTCATAGGATTATATCAAATGACTTAATCACCATTAAATCTTGGTGCGATTCGAACCTCCTGAGTCTCAACATTTCTAAAACTAAGGCTTTGTCGTATAAAAACTCGTTGCAGCCTTTTGTACTTGACAACACCACCATTGACGTCGTAAAATCCGTAAAATTCTTAGGCTTGTTGTGGACAATTCTCTGAAATGGGACATACATATCGAAGCTTTGTCGAAAAAATTGAGCTCTGCCTGTTTTGCATTAAGGTCTGTTTCTAAGGAGCTTAACTTGTCAGTGGCTAGAACTGTTTATTATGCACTTTTTGAGTCGCATCTCAGGTATGCCCTTCCATTCTGGGGTACGTGTTGTGCGGCTCAATTTGACCGCATTTTCAAGCTCCAGAAGAGAGCTGTTCGATATTCACTGGGACTAAACAGCAGAATTCATTGCCGGAGCTTTTTTAGAGAATTAAAAATATTGACTCTTCCTTCCTTATTTATATTTGAATCCGTTTGCCTAATAAGTAAACATGTATCAGCTTCTCAAGAAAGGCCAGCTCACACTTATCCACTCAGGAACGCGGAGCAAGATCTTTATCTACCTACCCCACGCTGAGAGTTAGTTAAAAGTTCAATATTATACAACTCGAAAAAAATGCACAATCACCTGCCATTTGAAATCAAATCCATAACATCATTTTTTTCATTTCGCAAAGCATTGAACTCTTATTTACTATACAAGGCTTTCTACGCCGTAAATGAATTATATTTGAATTGAAAATCGAATTTGATCTTGAAACCACTGGTCTAATGTTTGCTATTGCTATATTTACTAATGACATCGAAATTAATTTATTTAGAGGTCATTGATATTTTGCTATAAACTGGCTAAATATTTTTGAATATTATTTTAATTTTTTTGTTCTTTGACATTGTAAACATTTATATATGTTTATTTTAACAATAAGACTGACAATATTATTTGTATAATGTTTTGTATTATCTTTTGTTTGTTTGTTTGTGTACCTTGTTATTTTTTACTTTGTTTGTTAGTTTACCTTTGTCCACAAATTGAAAAATTTTTTGACAATAAAGGCATTTATTTATTTATTTATTATTCTTTTCCTGAGTTTGCATAATTATGATATAAATAATATTTAACATTTCTTTCATTATTAGGGGGAGTGTCATAATGAAAGTCATGTTGGAAACATTCTATTGAAGCTCGAATTTAACTTTTCTAAAAAATGTAAGTAACGTTCACCCGTCAACGTATCCTCGAAAATGTATGGTCAAGAAAAGTTGAACCAATAATCTTACACGCTTTTCTCCATTTGAAAAATTCATAGTTACAATATTTGTTTATTTTAATTTATAAAGTTTGGATGTGACAGTTTCACATTTCTGAGAGCAACGACGCGACGACTGAACTTGTTCTTAAAAATTAAAAATTATATATGTATATTTAAAAATTGGCTATAACCTTTGCTATAGGTAACTCAGTAATTATTCGAAAGAAGCATATTATAGTTTATATCGCTAAAAAGCTTAAAAAATGGCGCTATTTATGAAGTCATGGCCAACTATGGTTTCCATTTAAAAAAAAAAACATGTTTGTGTCATATGTCAAAAATGACAGGCTTTAGAAAAAAACGGAGGGCACAATCTCATTAAGAATGTCATTATCTACAACTTTTATCTGAAAACTTTTTGTCTAAAATAGATTATAAAGGAATTAGGGTGAATTTTTAAAATAGCCGAAATTTGTCTTTATCAAAATATCTAGTAAACCATGAACTTTTTCAAAAATCTGAAACATATAGCTTATATCACTAAAAAGCTTAAAAGTGGCGCTTTTTATGAAGCTATGGCCAACTATGGTTTCCATTTAAAAAAATATGTTTGTGTCATAAATGACAGGCTTTAGAAAAAATCGGAGAACACAATCTCATTAAGGATATGATTATCTACAACTTTTATCTGAAAACTTTTTGTCTAAAATAGATTATAATGGAATTAGGGACAATTTTTAAAATAGCCGATTTTTTTTTAAATATCTAGTAAGCCATGAACTTTTACAAAAATCTGATGGGACATGTTTATGACCCCACAAAACTGCAATTCTTTTCCCATTTAACCGACTCTTTATATCCAGTAGTTTCCGAGATACCCATAGAGAACATCGTAGGGAACTCACCCTGTATGTAAAAATTTGGTTTTGATAAAAATATCACGAGCGGTAATAATCCTGCAGACGGATTCTGTACTATAAGACAACCAAGATATGAAGGGGGTCGAAAAGTGCAAAATATTCTAATTCGCTCTGTCTTTTAGGAACTAAGAGCGCTTGCATACATGCCGGCAAAACCGGTGCCGGAGACGGCGGCAGCGCCGGCTTTGCACATATTCCGACAGTTGTATGAATTCTATTGTATTTGCCGTTCCACAACTATTTTACCGGATCGGAGTATAAGTAAAGGAGCTAATTTATTTATATATTGCAATCGATTTCAGCACGGACACTGGTATCGACACCGATTTTGTCGGTGTGCGTGAAAGCGCTCTAATGGGGCTAGAGCAAATCTGTAGAATCTTTAGTTTAATAAAAATAGTACAATAATGTGACAAACGCATATTTGTACCTGTTCATAAACGTAAAATAACGGTGTAAAACACACGAGAATTGGATACCCTGTATAGACTGTACCCTGTTACCCCCATCTGTTATTTCTTTGCTAAAAAATAAAACTATTATTTTTATTCTCCAAATTTCAGATAACCAATGCGAACGGCTAATTGAGGTAATTCGGAACTTGACGTTAGCCAAATCTTCAATACTCGAAGCAATGATGTTTTGTATGGATTATGTAGCAGCAATTAATGATATATTTGACATTTTAGTAGATTCATTATGCAACAAGAGCACAAAACCTCCTGATAAAGTATCCAGGTATGCATTTATTCTTTAATCGGTGGTGTTGCTAATGTTGGTAGACAGCAGTAAATTATGTATTTTGTCACTTTTTAAATACTTTATGAATACAATCGAAATGAATAAATCAAGAATATACAAGAAAGTGCTGATATGTTTTTTTATCATACAAGGTGTGCCAAATGTTCGGAATATATGGGATTTTATAAAAAAAACAATGGGACGACAAATTACAAACATCCCTTTTTAGTAGGCACACTTCATACACTAAATATAAATTTTATAGGCTTGGTGCATTTCAGCCGATTTTTAAGATTCCGACGGTAGAAATCAACGACATTGTCCGACTAAGATTATTTCCCGCCGTCCCGGTTACCGTTCATGTTGATCACATTGAAATAACATTAAGTTATAATATTTATTTATTTTGATGTTTACTACTGGGAATGTCATCCATGTTCATTTACAAGCCAACTGGACGCCGTTTTTTTTTTGATCATATGGTACTTCTGTGAAGGCCTTGTGAGAGGTTTGAATTGAAGTGATTGTTTAAATTGAAGTGAGTTTTGAATTGAAGCGATCTATTAGTTGTAATATGATTATTTGTATATTGTTATTTCAATTATAACAAGGATGAAAGCTAATTACGGTATGAGTAAGGGCGCGCGCACCCACACCAGCAAAATCGGAGCCGGTGCTGACGCGACGTCGCCGCCGCGCCGCGCCGCGCCGGCTTTACGCACGTTCCGGCAGTTGTATTTAATACCATTGTATTTGCCGGTCCACGACTATTTTACCGGGAGGTTCGGAGTATACAGATTGTTAACTGGACTGTTACTTATTGGGGAACAGAATAGCAACACTGCCTACATTCCAAATGAGTACCTACTAATCTAAGCTGCCGACTCCTCGCCAAGGTTACCATATTTCAACCATAAAGCTCTTGCCGCGAGTAACAAACAAATTAACAACCTGTATGTGAAGGAGCTAATTTATTTATATTATAACCGATTTCAACACTGGCACCGATTTTGCCGGTGTGTGTGAAAGCGCTCTAGGGGGGATAAGTTAGTGTGCTATAAATTATCTATTTAACGAACTGATTGAATTCGTATTCTAGAGAGTAATTGCAGAAATAACATTAAGCCATTTTAGTGATATTTCGATAGAATATACATAACTAATATTGTTAATACATGGTGTGTCAAGTCGAGACGACAAAGGTCATGGTGGAAAATGAAAGTAACCCTCTTTACATATGCAAAAATGGGGGTAAAATCTGTCTACTGAGTCATAAAGCGCACGTAATCATATCAAAATAAAGACAAAATAATTCACAATTCACGTCCACCAGTGCCACCGGAAACGAAAAAACTGATCAGATATACTGTGCTGGCAACTGTTACTTTTGGATCGGAACTTACATGTGTGGAAGTAAATCGCATAGGGATCTTATTAAGTCGGAGTGAGAGAAATGCGACGGTATGCTGTTGCGGCGTTGCCGGTACGCCTTTCCCTATCAGGTAAAGTAAAATCACGATCGCAAACCGCTTATTTTTTTTAAACGACTTTTTTTTCCAAAATATAACTATATAAAATCATTAGATATTGTTGCGGACCGGTGTGGACTCGACCTAACCTAACTATATAGCCCGCCCTCGGATGACCTTAACATCGCATTAAAGAATAGACACCGTAATGATTCATTCGAAGATTCGAGAAGAAACGAGTTCCACTGGAATGGAGTAGTACATACGAGAACAATCGAAACCTTCTCTATGCACCTAACGACTATGGACTATTCTAGAGTTCTTTTAGCTGTAGGTATAAAAGCCGGCGGCTGTGGCCTAGAGAGGGCAGTTATAAATATACCAGTGCAGTTGACTCGCTAAAATTCAAAATAAATTCTTAGTTATAAATCGTTTGTAAATAGTTCTATAAGTCTTTTATCGTTATTGTTTTTGTTAATTAGTGTTAAATAAATAGTGTTGAAATAAATTGTGACTTTCTATCCACACGGAATCGACGAAAAACGTAATTGGTGTCAGGTGTGGGGTGTGTGATAAAATAGAAAATAAAAAGACAGACAATGGCTCCGAAAAAATTGTTGAAAGACTTGAAAGTGTCGGAATTAAAATGCGTACTGGAAGAGAGGGAATGCGAAACAGATGGAAAGAAAAGCATTTTGCAAGCCAGACTGAGAGACGTTTTGATTGAGGAAGGTGAGGATCCTGACACATTTTGCTTTGAGCTGGAAGGTGACCTTGACTCGTCCTTACAAAAATTAGACGACAACTTGAACAATTTGAATAGTAAAATAATTAACTTGGAAGACAGTTTGAACGGTAAAATTACAGAGAATTCTCAAAAATTAGAAGACAGTTTGAAAGATAAAATTATGGAAAATTCCCAGGATTTAATTAATATTTTAGAAGATCGCAGAAAATTCTAAAGACATACAGGCCAGCTTTAATAATAACTTAATTTAGAAGAAAAGATAACAGAAAATTCCAGGGAATTAGAAAAGAAGATAATAGATATACAAGATAAAATAACAGAGATTGAGGAAGATGTAAATAGAAAAATCGAAATTTTAAAAGAAGAAATAGCGAAGTCAAATTCACCAAAATGTCAAGAAACATCGGAGGGACCGAAACTAGTCGAAAATAGGTATACCTCAAAATCAGTTATGAAACCTCCGCAGTTTGACGGAAAAACCGCTTGGGCCAACTACTTTTGCCAATTTGAAGCCGCTGCGAGAGCAAAGGGCTGGATAATCGCTGAAAAAGCTACCGCTTTGACTATCGCACTGCGGGGAGATGAGGCTGATATCCTGCAGACACTGTCACCATCGGAACAGGGAGATTATCAGCAATTGGTACGACATTTAGAAATGAGGTACGGCCAAGCTCATTTGGAACATGTCTATCATTCCCAGCTAAAAAATCGCATTCAAAAGTCAAATGAGTCTCTGCAGGAGTTTGAAGCCGACGTAGCCCGTCTCGTTCGCCTTGCGTACCCTGCTACGCCCGAGAATATTACGGTGCGGTTGGCAGTACAGGCATCTCCGACGGCTTACGTGACAACGAGACAAGACAAGCACTTCTCCTAGCCCACCCAACGCACTTGGTGGATGCTTTAGCACGTGCCCTAGAATTTGAGGCCGCGAAACAAAATTCTCGGTCTCTAGTGAGAGTACGGGCGGTCAACCAATGTTCCGACGAATCCGTGGAAAGCATTGTACGGAAAGTCATGGAGGAGTACATGGGCAAGAAAGATCGACTTGTTGCTGAAACTGCGGCCAGGCAGGACACGTAAGAAGTCACTGTAAAGAAAAGGACGTGGACCCGGTTTCGCCAAGTGTCGAATCAAAGAGACACATATCGAGCAGTACCCAACAGGTTCCAACGAAAACTGCTCAAGTCGCATCGCTACAACACAAGTTCAACAGCATTTTTGTGGATGGTTTCGTGGATGGAGAGTTACGGACCATGCTTTTGGATACGGGTGCGACCAAAACGATCATCAGGCCGGATATCCTTAAAACATCAAAAAGGATTAAAACAACACAATGGCGACTACGTACAGCTACAGGAAGCTCCGCTCTCATCCATGGAGAGGTAGATCTTAATTTTGTTATTGGAAGCACCTGTTTCAATCATCGAGTGTTAGTAGCAGACATCGAAGATGAACTTATTCTCGGAATGGACATCATGACCACTAGAGGTTTTGAGCTAAACCTCAATCAAGGAATTTTGAAAATAAATGAAGAAGAAGTGGTTCTGCATCGAAAATGTGAGGAGACGCTTCGCGTGGTGGTAGCAGAAGATGTTTCGATCCCTGAGCGCTGTGAGATATTTTTGGATGGTTGCCTGGAAGGTAAAATGAATAATGGGAGTATTATTCTGTTGGAGCCAAGGAACCATGACAGCGAAATAGGACGAGGGGTCGCTGTTGGAAAAGCCCTGCTACGAGCGAAGACTGTACCGGTGAGAGTAATGAACACGAATTATTATTCTGTATCCTTGAAGAAGGGAACCCTGTTAGGGTACTGTAGTTCGGTCTCCTCAGTCATTCGAAGCGTGGAAGCCTCCACAGTTTTGACTTCAAAAATTCCGGACAAAATGATGAAGGAGTTAGTAAACGTTAAAGGATTATCTCCCGAAAATAGTAGAAAATTGAGAAACCTGATAATCAAGTATCAAGATGTGTTGGATAAAGGAGAAGCAGGACAGAGGTCGTACCGATTTAGTACAACACAAAATTGATACCGGAGATGCACGACCAATCAAACAAAATCCGAGAAGACTTCCGCTCGCCAAACGTGAAGAAGCTGATAAAATCCTTCGAGAAATGAACGAAGAGGGTGTCATCGAACCATCTAACAGCCCGTGGACATCGCCGGTAGTACTAGTAAAGAAGAAAGACGGTACCACCAGGTTCTGTGTTGATTATCGGCAGCTCAATAATGTTACCAAGAAGGATAGTTATCCTCTGCCGAGGATAGACGATACTCTAGACACGCTGGCGGGCTCAACGATATTCTCTACGTTAGATCTGAAGAGTGGATATTGGCAAGTCGACATGGCGCCGAAAGACAGAGAGAAGACAGCGTTCTCGGTGGGCTCCGGACTGTGGCAATTTACCGTCATGCCTTTTGGATTGTGCAACGCGCCAGCTACCTTTGAGAGACTAATGGAGTCTGTGTTAAAGGGACTATCCTGTACTACCTGTTTAGTGTACCTGGATGACATCATATTGGTTGGGAAATCCTTTGACGATCATCTGAAGAATTTGGAAGAAGTTTTCAAGCGATTAGGGAGCTCTGGTTTGAAACTTAGCCCCAAGAAATGTCATCTGTGTTAAGAAAAGGTACACTACTTGGGCCATGTAGTCTCCTCCCAAGGAGTTGCGGTAGATCCACAGAAGACCAAGGCAGTGGAAGAGTGGCCAATACCTAAAGATAAACATGAACTACGAAGCTTTTTGGGACTATGCACATACTATCGCCGCTATGTACAGGGTTTCGCCACCATCGCAAAACCATTGACCAGACTTACCGAAGGCGAGAGGCGTTTCTCGTGGGACTCAGATTCTGACGAGGCATTCCGAAAATTGAAGAAGGCCCTGACTAGTGCGCCCATACTTAACTACCCTCTTGGCAACGGAAACTTTATATTGGATACCGACGCTAGCAGTGTTGCGTTAGGCGCTGTTCTGTCTCAGATCCAGTATGGTCAAGAAAAAGTCATTGGTTATTTTAGTAAGACCTTGTCAAAACCGGAAAGGAACTACTGTGTAACCAGACGAGAATTACTAGCAGTAGTTCAAGCAGTGGAACACTTCTACAAGTATCTCTATGGAAGAAAGTTCTTGTTAAGAACAGACCATGCTGCTTTGAAATGGCTGTTGCAGTTTAGGAATCCTGAAGGGCAGGTAGCTAGATGGATTGAACGATTACAAGAATTTGACTTCGACACAGAACATCGAGCTGGGACAATCCATCGGAATGCCGACGCACTTTCCAGAAGACCTTGCGCTAAGGACTGTAAGCATTGTTCCCGAGCATAAGAGAAAGAAGTGAAACTCCTAAGAACAACTGTGGTTAATGATAGTTGGCAACCCGAAGATCTTGCAAATGACCAAACCAGTGACCCAGAATTAGGTTTAGTAATTAACTGGAAAAACGCAGGCCAAAGACCAACGTGGGAAGAAGTTTGCAGATATTCGGCGAACGTAAAGTCGTACTGGGCCCAGTGGAATTCCTTGGTAATAGATAACGGACTACTTCGCCGGGTGATCGAGAGACCGGAGGGACAAGAAAAGAGAAGGCAGATCGTCATTCCAAAGAAGAGGGTCCCAGAAGTCTTGAAGGAAGTTCACAATGGAACCAGCGGTGGACATCTGGGTGTTACCAAGACACTTGGCAAGCTGCGTGAACGGTTCTACTGGGTGAACTGCAAAGAAGATGTGAGGGCCTGGTGTAAGAAATGTGACATTTGCGCAGCCATCAATGGGCCACAGAAGCGTGGTAAAGCCCCTATGCGCCAGTACAATGTTGGCAGTCCCTTCGAACGAATAGCGATCGACGTGGCTGGTCCTTTACGGAGACGAACAATGGCAACAAATACATTGTGGTAGTAATGGATTACTTCAGCAAATGGGTCGAGGCCTACGCGTTGCCAAATCAAGAAGCGTCCACCGTTGCTGATGCCCTTGTTAAAGAAGGGATCTGCAGGGATTCAGATCAGGGAAGAAACTTTGAGTCCAATCTGTTCCAAGGCGTCTGTGAAGTCCTGAACATCCGCAAGACCAGGACGACTGCTCTACATCCACAATCCGATGGGATGGTTGAACGCATGAACAGAACTATCAACCGTTATCTGGCCAAAGTAGTCTCTGACCACCAAAGAGACTGGGACAAATTTCTTCACCTGTTCTTGTTGGCCTACCGTTCATCCGTCCAAGAATCTACAGGGCAAACTCCAGCCAGCATCGTTATGGGACGGGAAGTGCGCCTACCTTGTGATCTGAAATTTGGTTGCCGACCGGGAGAAGAAGTCGCCGGAGAAGATTATGTCCACACACTACGTCAAAGAATGGACGACATCCATCAGCGAGTCCGCCTAAATATTCAAAGTACTAGTGACCGAATGAAGGAACACTACGACATTCAAGCTGAGCATGGAGGATACCAACCAGGGAAGTTGGTGTGGCTATATAACCCGCACGAGCTACAATCCTCGTGGGAAGGGCCATACGATGTCATGGATAGGATTAATGACGTCGTATACCGTATCAGAAAATTGCCAAAAGGAAAACCGAGGGTAGTCCATTTCAACCGTTTGAGCCCCTACCAAGGCGAAATAGAAGATCGTGCTGGGACCGTGAGAACCTGCAGCTTTGATCCCCCTGATTCGGAGATGTCCTTTGACGATTTCATGGCCCGATACAACAGCAGTGAGAAGGCTCGCTATGGTGTAACCAAAGAAGATCAACGAGACCTCTTTTCCGTGCCTCTGGATTATTCGCTCGCTCATTGTGTGGCCCGAGATTTGCGGATGTCCAGAAGAATCGCTGCGATGTTCAATGAGAAGTTAGGGCGTGTCGGAGAACTACGCCGACAGGATCCAGAGGTTGGGAGCGTCTTGAGGCTAACCGACAATGAACATGGTCAAGCAAGGTACATTTTCTACCTAGTCACCAAGGAATGGTCCCCAAGTAAGCCGACTTATCTCAATCTATGGAAGACCCTGATTGAAATGAGAGAAGCCCTGCTAAACAACAACATTACACGATTAGCCATTCCGAAGCTGGCATGTGGACTCGATGGTTTGAGTTGGCGTACAATCCGGAACATGATTGAAGTCTTGTTCAGATTTACGGGAATCGAGATCCTTGTTTGCTGCTACAACCCAAAGCTGAGATCGGGAGAGAAAACTGTAGACTGATATTTCTACCAGACCTCGCAATGTACCAGGGGCCAGCTTTGCAAATACCTTCATTCACCGTGTACATCTCGGGACGAGCATGTACCTAAGAATGGGCAGTGTTGCGGACCGGTGTGGACTCGACCTAACCTAACTATATAGCCCGCCCTCGGATGACCTTAACATCGCATAGACACCGTAATGATTCATTCGAAGATTCGAGAAGGATCGAGTCCCACTGGAATGGAGTAGTACATACGAGAACATTCTAAACCTTCTCTATGCACCTTACGATCTATGGACTATTCTAGAGTTCTTTTAGCTGTAGGTATAAAAGCCGGCGGCTGTGGCCTAGAGAGGGCAGTTATAAATATACCAGTGCAGTTGACGCGCTAAAATTCAAAATAAATTCTTAGTTATAAATCGTTTGTAAATAGTTCTATAAGTCTTTTATCGTTATTGTTTTTGTTAATTAGTGTTAAATAAATAGTGTTTAAATAAATTGTGACTTTCTATCCACACGGAACCGACGAAAAACGTAACAATATATTTCTGAGCATCTGAAATGGAATTATAAGGATATCGTTAGGGTAATCAATTATTTTTAATAGATTTTGAGATATCGATTCATTTTGAATTCAGAGTTCTAATAGCGCGACCATTGTCGAATATCAACTCAATTCCACTTATTTTTACCAAAAATGCAAGTGTTTCTAACTTTCACTTAAAAATTTTCAAGCTATGGGGAAAATTACAACGACTCGTTAATAAATATACAAATAAAGTATCGCGAGACGTAATTAAATCGTAAAGCTCAACGCATGATGTACACCTTTCCCAAGAACTTTAGGTACTGATGTGGTACTGATTGGGTCGACTGGTAGACTACGACAAATCTGCTATATCCCCTTCCACGTCTCTTAGAATTTGCGTGGTGCGCAGTGCGCAGTTTCTCGTTTTATTTTGTGCGTTTGGCAACGTGTTTACTGTTCTCTCTTTGTTCAGTACATTATAAACGCATTGTACTCTTCTTACATATAAGGAAATCTTGACCCAAGAATAACCTTTGCCAGCCCTTAGTATGTGGGTACTTTTGGACAATGTCGGTTTAGCAGGTATGTGACATCGTAATAAAAAATAAAATATTCAAAAAATTAAGTTTTTTTACGGTTAGATTTCCCGAAGTTTTCAAATTCTGGAAAACCCGAGGAATAGCTCCTGTTTAGTTAGATTTACATATTTCGATTAATGTTAATTGCCCAATTATTTTTGCATGTGTAAAGTGGCTTTTTGTTTAATTAGTTCCTATGTGTTTTCACTGAAAATTTATTTTCACGAAAAATACCTTGTAACTGCGTTTTATGGAGTACTATCTTGAGTACTAACTAAATAAAAATATAGTAGGTACGTTATTTCATCTTATTTTTATTTCAGGATGTATTTGCTTTCTGACGTTTTGAGTAACTGTGTTGCCAAAAATATATCAGTTTGCAATGTAGAACGTGATATGGATAAAATAATACGCCATCTGCAATTATGTTTTGATAACATAAATCAGGACAATGACCGCCAAATTTATTCCAAGAGAATATTGCGAGTTTTACAGCAATTCAGCATTATTGGAATTATATCGGATGATGTACTTAAAAACGTAAGTAATATAAAATATTGATGTTATATTTATTATAGCAACAGATATTATCTTCATTTAATTTGAAAGAAGTTTTCAATCATTTATTCCAACAATGCCAAAACCTATTTACTTTATAATTTACACTATGTAAAATATAGTTCATATCAAATAATTGTACCCTAATTTAACCTAATTAAACCTAATTTAATATACAAAACCCTTACGAGCTTATAACAATTAAATTTATATATTATACAGGGTGGCGCACCTCATTCGCCTCGGTTGATTATACGAAAACGGAAAGATGTAGAAACAAAAATTTTTATGGGTATATGTAGAGAGGCAATGTGCATAGTTTAAAATTATTTTCAAATGTACAAGGTGTGTCAGAACTAAGATCCATACCAAAGTTATATTTTTCCTTACGGAACACCCGGTATTTTATTTCATTTTTGGATTCTTAGACATAAAATCTTAAGATCAAACGAACTTACCTTAAGTGATGTTCGATCTTGATTATATGTAGGCCTCGTCGAAATAAATAATAGTCTGTAGTACCTTCGGATTAGTCCGAACCGATCACTATTTTAAAGCTGAAAAAGCAAAAACCCCCGCCGCTCGTCCTGCCGCGCCGTACTGCTCCATATTCAGTCTGTTTTAAAGCTGTTGTTGCAACGGGAATAATTCAAAAATTAATTATAGGGTGGGTTAGGGACTTATTTATTTCGACGAGGCCTACATATAATCAAGATCGAACATCACTTAAGGTAAGTTCGTTTGATCTTAAGATTATATTCCGGCCTCGTCTCATAAATAATAGTCTGTAGATGTTTAAATACATACATGCAACAACTTATTACCTCATATTTTATATTTATAAAATATGAAAATGATTTCTCATATTACTCGTGACACAAAAGGTAATAACAGATAACTAACAAAGAAGATACATTCTGTAGTGACACTTAAATTTTGCCTACAACACATTAAAAGTAAATAGAATATTCAAGACTAGTTATACAGTGAGCCAATTGTGCATTGTCAATTAAAGTCTATTATATAATCACAAAAAATAAATTATTCTAATCTCTGCCCTGTCATTGGGTTTAGGTTAGGTTAGGTTGTTCGGGTTTGGGATCATGTTTGATCCCTCACTCGGAGGCCTTGGGCCCATTGCGATACCCCTGTATTTGTCATTGGGTTTAACCACCATGTATTTTTTGTTAATTAAACTTAAAGTTTGAATTCGATGAACTTTTGCTATTGCTGTTAGGGTTATTTAAGTTTGTTTGTTCAGATTATAGAGATATGTCGATATTAGATTAGATTCTTATATAATACGGAACATTACTAGGGTCCCAAGTCTTTTTGTGCCTTGGTTTTGGAGGGTTTAATCCAAATATACCTTTAATGAACCTTTTCATTCGAGAATCAGAAGACATGCCTGTCATTTGTGCCAGCGCAGAAGATATAAGTTAAGGGTACCATACGACACCCCATTCTTAGGCTGACTAGGATAGGTCCAAGACATTAGGTACCATAAGTACAAAAGGATCCAATTTATTTAGCATGCAAAATTGTTACCATAACTTTAGCCTTATTGAGTACTGCTGGAAGGTAGAACTGGATACTTAAGAGATATTTATTGTTCGGGAATTCCTTGTAATAGCGGCACCCCGACTCCCTGCTACCAGGAAAAAGTTTATCGACAATAGAATTTGGTTCAAAAATTAGAGGTTTTGACACTAAAAGTGACTTAAAAAGAAGAAAAAAACGTTATTGACAAGTCCAAAGGGGTATTACAAGGATTCTCTCTGCCTTTTCCCCAATACCTTTTTGTATAACTCTTAAAGCCCATCTTGTCTATATCTCCGGATCTCTCACCCAAGAAACAAATTTTACACACTTTTTGTTCAGACGACTTGCAAAAAGATCTATGTGTGAAAAACCAAATTATCTCGGTAATTTTTCTAAAAGCAAACACCGCACTGCAAGACTCCATTCGGTTTCTTTGTATTCTTCTAGATGCTCAGTCAACAAAAAATGTTGTCATTTGAGGCAATATATGAGTATATAAGAACATAAATGTTTCGTTCTTGCCACCAGCTCCACATTTTTCTTGCTAATTTGTTTAAAGTCTAGTACTTAACACTACCCATGATGTTAATCATGCACACAGCCGTTGTATTATCAATACAACATAGGACATTACAATTTAAACAGTTAAAAAAAAAACTACTTAGACCAAAACATAGAGCTAAAAGTTCTGGTTCATTTTTATGATAGACTTTCTCTACTTTCGACAAAAAACAAAAATAGTATGACCGTTAAATTAGGTCCCTAGCCAGTTATATTGTGATATTTGAATATTGAATTTTACTTGAACACCAAGCGAAATCCATGGATAAAGAGGGCAATATATACATATCTGCCTCATAATTACCTCTAGAATTTAGTAAGGCTAAAAAATGCTTCTTTTCGAACAACCTGGTGTGTGTAAAGCATACCTACTTAATAGCTGTAGCAGCTGAAATTAACGACCCAATGAACCGTGAAAAATCTCTTTTACAACTTGTCATATAAGAAAATCTTCCTAATAGTACTATTTTTATTTTAAACGCCTTTCCTTAATCAAAGAAATAATCATAGCTTGTGAATTATACAAAAAACCTAAATATTTATAAATTTGATTTTGTATGAGGTTACTTTTCTCAAATTACACTATAAAAAATAAATCGAAAATAATGTCTCTTTCACATTATTCTTACAAGCTTCCAGAAAATTTGCAAAAGAAGGATATCACTAAATAGGGCCACTAATAAGAAACCTCTTTTTCTAAGAAGAGCCGTAATAAATTTTAAACATCTTTTTAAAACCCTAAAAGACAAACAGTTCTCGCAAACTCATAGCGATTTGTTAATATAAAGCCTTATATATTTTTAGTGTGGGTCTTTAATTGGAACAAGGTAAAGTAGACCTCTTTTAGATCTTCTGGTGCCATAAAACAGTTTTATGTTGTTCAATTTTCTATTGATTCCTTTTAACAAATTCATTAAATCACTTAAGGTTAAGGATCAATCGTTCCATCTGGTCTTGGAATAATAAAGATATTGGAAAGAAACTGATCAGTTCTAAGCTTCGTCCAAGAAACGGTTTCATTTCCAAATAGAAGATAGAGACTGGAGTGGATCTTAAAGTCTTTAGTAACTTTATTTAAATTTATGAGGAGAAGCTATGTTCTTGACACTGACTCTGAATGATATCCTCTCAGATATAATTCACCTAGAAGTCTACCAATGTCACTTAATCTTTCGATGTGTGGCCAATTATTTCCCCCTCCTCCTTTTTGAATTATCTTTGTAATTAATAAGGCGATAGGTGATATTGCAGCACCTATTTGTCTGTTACTTATAGTATTCTCGGATAAGACCGCCCTAATTTCGGGATTTATTTTAGGAGGATATAGCCCCTGGCAGCGTTCAGGCGATAAATATTTTTGAGTTAGCTCTTTTCTAACTTCACCTGTCGAACCAGAACCTAATACTTTAGACCACGAAGTGGCTATTTCCTGCTGAACAGGTTCCGAAAATGACTTTGAATAAAAATTATATTTTTTTTTTTTTTTTAAATATAAAACTTGCTAGTATTTTGCTACCCTAAGCAAAACATATAATTATGTAAATTTGTGATATTTATAATCCTAGATAAATATCGTTACAGGATACTGTATAGACATATATTGTATTAATATTAGACCGCCCTAGGTATAATCTTTGTATAATGATTTTTTTATATATATATATATATATATATATATATATATATATATATATATATATATATATATATATATATATATATATATATATATATATATATATATATATATATATATATATATATATATATATATATTTTTTTTTTTTCTCACACTGTTAGTGGTAGTTCTAGTCCATGTCCGGGCTGTAACCAGCCAAGGGCACGACGAATATTGTCAATAAGGTGAGACAATTTTTCGAATAATTCCGACGGTACCAAGCACAACTGCTTTTTGCATCCACATTATGGTGTTGTTCGGGAGGTTTAGTTCTTTGATATGTTGGTTTGTCATTTTGTGTACAAGTCCATTGGCACTTATTATTAACGGTACTATAATCACCTTCCGCAGTTCCCAGATTGCTTTTATTTCCTGAGAAAGTGCAGCGTACTTGTTTATCTTATCTGCATAGGCTTTAGCCACGTTATAATCCTGCGGTACTGAGAAGTCGATTATGATGGCGGTTTTTTTCAGGTTTATTCCATATTACCATATCGGGTTTATTATGTTCTACTCCTATATCTGTTTCTACTGTAAAGTCCCAGTATATCTTGGTGGTGTTATTCTCTAATACAGCTTTTGGAACGTACATGTGGTGGGGGGTAAATGTGTCAAGGAGGCCCTTATTGGTGCATACCAATGGAGGCATACCAACTGGTGCACTACTTTTCCCATGTTATTATGTCTTTCTAGGTATCTGGTCCCGGCTATTTTACTGCATCCAGAAGACAAGTGCTGTACAGACTCCTCACTAATATTACACAAACGACATTTTGTGTTTTCAACTTGTTGTTTTAATATATACCGTGCATATGTTCGGGTTTTTACTACTTGGTCTTGAATGGATAGTATTGCGCCTTCGGTTCCTGGGAAGAGGTATCCAGCTGTTAGGTAGGTATTTGAGGCCTTGAAATCCACATCTTCTTGGTGCAAGGAGGCGTAAAATCTGCCATGCAGTTCTTTACTCTGCCAGCGCTGTTTCATCTGTCCAGCAAGATTTACAGCTTCCGGTTCTTGGCCGCTAGCCAGGTTGAGTGATGTATAGTTTTTATCTAAGACTCGTATGCTTTTATACACAGGTGCATTGTTTGTGAGTAAATATTTTCGTAATTTCTGTCTTTCTTCCTGGCTAGCAGACTCTAAACTGATTAGTCCTCGACCCCCTTCATCCCTAGGTAAGTACAACCTTTCTATGGCCGAG